CGATCAGGAACAATTGACATTTAAATTTAAATACAGCAACCGTTATAAGCAATAAAAATAATGAAGTAATTGAAAATGTATCTCACTGTGTCAGTGGGATCCATGAAAACTGTCCACGTTAAAGATTTGGCTACTGAGCTGCTGCTGTTCAGGAAGTCTGTCCAATTATCTCACATTAACGTCTGAGGTTCCTTCCTACCAAAACAGCAATTAGCCTCTGCTGCAACCAAGACTTAGCAATAAAGGAAAGGCAGGGGGGGACCTTAAACTTTTACAGAACCATATCTGCTGCTGTAGGGCCCGAACAAAACAAAACGACATATCAGTATTCAGTGTGTCAGCTTCTGTTGCAACACTTTTCTGCACATTTCTCGTGGTTGTGACAGAAGTCTTTCACCAGAATCCCACATTCACTGAGTTCTACGGTTACAGCAACATGCACAGTCACGCCAAGTATGCTTATCAAAACCCTTTAAGCAAGAGGTGTCCTAACACACACTTACTGGGAGGAAAAACTAATATGCAAGTAGCTACTGTAGCAGGAAAAGAGGGAGGTGCACCTGTAAAACTTTTATACACGTATAAATGCACAATAGAAGGAGTGGGTTCATTCTGTGAGTTAAAGTACAATAATTGTAATTTACTGGATGTTTAGTGACAAGTGCTGCAGGAGTAATAAAAGAACTCAGATGATCCTGTTTTACTACGAATCAGTGAGACTATTTTTCATGCTTATTTATGAAAAACAAAACAAAATACTGTAATGTGGCGCTTTACTGTTCAGGCAAAAATCAGTAGCTGTATATTTGACATGAAGGTGCAAGAAAAGAAGTTAAATTATGTAAGATATTTCAGACTTTCTGTGGCCTCTTACTGTAAGCACTTCTTTCATAAGTTGAGTAGCTGCTAAAAGCGCAAAAAGGTGAATATTTTAAGAGAAAAAATGTGGAGCAACCAATGGAAAAACCAGCAGCGAGGGAAACCTGCTACATTTTACAGTTCTTCCTGTTTCGACATTTAGGTTGCAGGCACATTTCAATCATTTTTATGTCTCAGCACCGATGACAGTCGAGGCCGGAGGCTTTATGCAGTCAGGTCCTTCTCATTTGTCACTTGAATGCTCTTCAAATTTGGCACAAACCTCCACTTTGATTCAAGTATGAACTGATTAGATTTCAATGTTAAAAAGTTACTATGAAGTGACAATGTTCAGTCAAGAATTGATGCACTAATTGTGATGAGATTTCACACAAATGTCTGAAAGGACAAAAAAACAAACTAATAAAAAATTGTGTACTGTATGCAAAAGGTCAAAGGTTAAATCTGGACAAATGTGGACGTAAACTGGAACTGAGCTGGTTAGTGGAGGCTTTAAACCACCAGCTGGTAATTCTAGTGTTTTTGATAAGATGTTTGTTGATGTAGATACAAAACTCAGACATCATGTTCATTTTGAAAACAGGGAATCAACTTGTACTTTGACAATGCTGAAACCTAACTTTTAACTGCAATTGCACTAAAAAACAGATGAGTGAGGAATAAAACATGATTTTGTTAGCAAGCTTTCTTTGAACGTTTGTTTTGCTTGTACTTAGATTTAGAGATAAACCTCGTTAAATTACTTATTTTTACTTGAAAGGTTTTTCACTCTCTGGGGTACATTTAAAACCAAATTGTAAATGCTCTTTATTATTAGAAAGTATTTATGATGTAAATTATAAAATATGTGAATTTATATTTCAACCAAAGTCATCTTAGGCTCAGTACTAAGCTGATTTGTTTCTGGCTATGCTATCAACGAACAAATATATTTCACACTACTCAGTTAGTTTTGGTAACAAATAGCAGCTGTTAGAAAAGATAAACAGATCTTTTTTTCTGAGTTTGTGCTAGAAGTGTAACAAATGGATGCATCAGAATTGTGAATATGTTACTGAATCTGCTTCTTCTATTGTATTTTACTGACTTTTTAAAAAGCTGTCCTGTTTCTCACACATGTTGAGGCCAAGAAGCTGTATCATTAGTTCAAAATTCTAAGCTTGAATTCAAAACCCTTTTAGTTAATTTTACTTTTTTCATCTTGGTCCATTCGACCTCCCGGGGCTTCAGACTGGGGTTCTGCTCAAACTTTAGGACTTGTGATGACCAAACCGGGTCAAGTGAGACCTTTAAATCTCACCTCAGTATTATATCATTAGATGGTAATAATAATTCTTTTTAAGTGCATTTGACATCAGGCGACCTTCAACTTCTCTATAGTAACTTTGTCAGCTTCCTCCACTCATTTCAAGCCACCAGCACTCAGCTATCACTAACCAGCATAAAGCAGCAGAGTTCTGTCTGTCAGAGAGGCTCAGCTATCAGGGCGGGTCAAACCTGAGGCCAGCTGATAGTGCTGCTGCTGCTGCTGCTGCTGCTGCTGCTTAAACTCCACTAAAAACTGAAACTGCTTTATGCAGTTCACATGAATTCATCCTGTACATGCTGCATGGATGTAAGCAAGTCATTAAAAGACCTTAAAAGGCCTTCAACTGTGAGATTCAACTCTCCATTACTTTCTTTTAAAGATTTTTTTTTTCAAAAAGATAGGCAAAAATAATTTAAACTCGACAAAAATCACTCCAGTGTCATTGAGATTCTCAGTGTTTTATTGTTTAGCTAACAGTCCAACTGATGATAAGGTAGAGTTAAGACCAAATTACTCATATTAATGCCAAATTTGGATTTATAATCAATTTGTATTTAACTAATATGTTTCTTCTTGGGCTGCAGGGTGGCGAGTTGGTAGCACTGTTGCCTCGCAGCAAGAAGGTTGCTGGTTCGCGTCCCGGTGGGGGCACCGGAATCTTTCTGCGTGGAGTTTGCATGTTCTCCCCGTGCAGTGTGGGTTCTCTCCGGGTTCTCCGGCTTCCACCCACACAGTCCAAAAACATGTTGAGGTTAATTGGTGATTCTAGATTGTCCGTATGTGTGAATGTGAGTGTGCTTGGTTGTCTGTCTTGAAGTGTGTCCAGGGTGTCCCCTACCTTCGCCCTAAGTCAGCAGGGATAGACTCCAGCCCCCCATGACCCTCGTGAGGATTAAGTGGTGTCTAGATGATGGATGTTTCTTCTTGTGACATAATAATAATAACAAATAAGGAAGTAAATAAAACATAATATGACATAAACAAGTGAGAAAAGATGGTGAGGCACTGTGTTAATGATGAATTAAAAATTGTTCTATGTTTTTACAGCCTGAATAGTAAAATTGCCACTTCAAAACTATTTATACCCCTTAAAATTGACAAAAATAGTAATAAAAATCCAGCTTCTATTCCATTCACAGTGGTCCTGGTCGTTTCTACCATGTTTTAGAGTAGTCTTATTCATTAATCGATGCTGATGCAGTGATTCTTTGTTCAGTGTCAAGTCAACTGCAAGTTGCTGCTAAAACCAAAGAGCTTACTGCGATTAAGGTTCATTACTCAGAGAAAGAGTTGCACATTGTGGTGGCTCCCAGCATTGACAAAGGCTATAAAAGCCATATCCAAGTGTTTTCAAGTGCCAGAGTCCGCAGTGCAAAGTAGAATCAAACAGTACAAGGAGTTCCACGCCATGACAAATCTCAAAGGTCGAGGTTTGAAGTCAAAATATGACCTCTGCACTGGCAAGAACGGTGGAATCCATGAATCACCAGGAAAACCATTATGACTAATGCCAGCAGTGGTAGAAACAACATCTCAATCAGAAACTCCAGCAGACACTGAACCAAGAACCAAGGAGGACCTTATTTCTCCAGGACACAAAAAGCTCCTCTGTATGAAGACTTTCATATGATAATGTGAAGCCTTGTGGTCAGATGAGTCGAAAGTGGAGTTTGTTTGGATGCAGTTTTGTTTGGTTAAAAAAAGGAGAAGCTTTAAACCTCAAGAACAGCATTCCCACAGTCAAACATGGTGGAAGTAATGCTTTGTGGTTCGGTTTCACCTGATGGGCAGCTCAACACTATAAAAGAGGACCACATTGAGATTGTGGAGGAAAACATCAAAAAACTTTGCAGCATTAAATCTTTCAAGAAGACAACGACCTGAAACATACAGCCAAAGAGGTGAAGAAATAGTTACAAGAGGCCGAGCCAGAATCCAGAACTGAATCCCATCAAGAACCTATAGAAGGAAGCTCAAAGACCTGAAGACCATCGCAAAAAAGAGGAGTGGTCCAAAATCCCAGAGGTGAAGAACAGCTTGATTATGTGGTGCCAGATAAAGATGATATCACTGATTATTGAGAAAGAGTATGAAACATTTTGGACATTGCATTTTTAGTGCAAATGTAAAAGGGATATAGTTCAAATTCATCAGAAAAACTTCTAATACAACATCTTACCATCTTTTGTTTCTTCGTCGTGTCCTTTCCAGCCAGAAGAAACCTAGCGACCAAATAAAAAATATTACTGTAAATCCAAATTTAGCATGAGTATAATTACATTTTTGGCTCAACTGTATCTCATAGGTATGAGTCCACAAGTCACACAGCTCTCTGTCTCCATCTAGAGGCCACACTCACCTCCATCAGGATTCAGAGAAAGAACTTTGGAAAGGAAACTTCTGACCTCCGTGCCATTTCTCCAAACTCCATTCAAAAATACTGCAATTGTACGCTGCATGGGCGATTTACAGAAACAGAGACAGTTTAACGAAACAATTAATATATCAGCAGAATAACAGGTAAAAACTCTGAACTTCGGCACACAAATAACCCACAAATACGCTTTTTAGATTGCCTCAGAGTGAGGATTTGAGGAAGGAGGATTAACTCGCTTAATTTCTGACTGCACACCGAGTTGTATTCGTTCCACTTGGATTTTAAATTGCTTTAATATCGCTTCTGCCTCCAAAGAGAAACACATTATTTGACTTTAGCGGTAAAAAAGTTGCAGTTTGAGCCGAAGCCTCGCCCCTCAGCGTGCCCCGACCCGCCGTGCTGTCCTCCAGATGGGCGGTGTTCCCCACAAACACATCCACCGTCTGCATTCTGCTGCTTTCATTCCTTGCGGGCATCCTGAAGCTGACCTCTTCCTGTTTCTTTTTCTTCTTTCTGAGAAATGGCGTTAAACGGTAAAAGTGCAGTGGTGACCGGAGCAGCGATGGGAATAGGAAGAGCAATAACGGAGATCCTTCTGCAAAACGGTGCTCAGGTAGAGTTTCTACAACGCAGCTCTGTTGTTTGTGTGATTATTGTGGGTCCATGCAGGGTTACATGTAGTTTGACTGGTAATCAGACAACAGGTTTCTGTATTAAGAAGCGAGAAAAGGGTCAAACAAGTAGCGGTGTCACAGCAGAATTTAATTAAATCTGTAGTGAGTGGAGGAAAATAACTTCACACATGCTCATGTTTGAAGTGAGTGTCTCTGCTCCTTTGGAAGTGTTCCTCCTTTATTTATTTCCGACAACAGTTTACCCCTAAAAAGATTTGTTCATGTCAAAGTGAAAACAGATTCCTGCAAAATAATGTCAATGAATTAAGTGATTGCATAAGTATTTGCCTCCTTCAAGTCAGTACTTTGTAGAAGGCAGTTCTGTCATTGAGCCTGTTTGGATAGATCAGCTGTGCACATCTGGACAATTTCACCCCCATTCTTCTCTGCAAAACTGCTCAAGCTGTTAGGTTACACAGGGATTTGTGCACAAACAACTATTTTCATGACCGGCCACAATTTCTCTTAAAGTCTGGGCACTTCCTCGGCAACTAAAAAACATTCATGTTGCTGCCTTTAGACCATTTCTGTGTAGCTTTGGGTGGATGGTTTTGGTCATTGTCTTCTTGGTAAACTAATCTTCTCCCAAATCGCAGCTCTCTTACAGACTGCATCCAGTATTTCCTCATACTTTGTTGATCTTCAGTAGAGCATTTTTCAACAGTGTCTTTCTCTTTGCCACTATCCTGTGAATATCTGACCAGTGAAGAACGGCAGTTCAACAGTTTTTGTTCTCACGGTCTCTCTCATCTCAGCCGTTGAAGCTTGTAACTATATCAGAGGAGTCACAGATGTCTTGGTGGCCTCACTCACTGCTCTCTTTCTTCTACAGTCACTCTGTTTTTGAAAACGTCCTGCTCTAGGCAGATTTACACATGTGCTAAATACCTTCCATTTCCTATTGATGGATGTAACTGTACTCCAAGGAATGTTCAGTGACTTTTTCCATCCTCTGACTTGTGTTTTTCAATAACATTTTCATTCAGTTGCTTGAAATGTTTGGTTTTTTTGTCTAGTTATAGCCAGAAGTAGTGATTCAGCAGTGACTGGAAATTCCAGATGAGGCGTCTCTTCACTACAATCACTTGAGACACATTTACTGCACTCAGATGTTCTCCATTTTACTAGTTATGTGGCTTAGATGTCAAGGGGGTGAATGTTTCAGGGATCATTTTCAAAAATATTTTACCTTTTATGTTGATATTGCTTTGTGGAATCGGTTTTCACTTTGGTATGAAAGAATCTTTATTTTTTGTTTTTTTGGAAAATATTGTCCAAAAAAACATACATAAATAGACTATAATACAACGCTGAAAAGCAAAAAAAAGGGGAAAACGTACAACGGGGGGTTAGTTAAGGCCTTAATTTTTTTACTTTCAAATTATTTTTGCATAAAAAGTAAAGAAAAGTCTGTAAGTTGTAGGAATTGGCTATTTCTTGTGTCTTATTCATTTCCATTGAGTAACTGGACATTATAAGTTGATTTCTATCAAAAATATGTTGAAATGTTTTTACTGTACATTTTTTTAGGCAGAACTGAGGATTTGAATGATTATACTGTCCAACACTGAGCTTTTCCTCAAACAGCTGCAAAAAAAAAGCACGACCTTGAGCTTCAGTGCTGCAAAATTGAGACCTTGTACAAGCCAATATGTACAAAGTACACATAGATGTTTTATCTACAGAGGGACAGGCCAGTGTTTGCAATGTACTCCCTGATAATGACTATATGAGGTTAAAATCTGTAGGATTGCATAATATATCCAGCCCAGATTCTCCTCCCACTCTACTGTTGATGTGCAGAGACTTGCTTTTAAATAAAGTGGAAACTATTTACAACATGACAGCGCATTCAATGAATTCAATGAATGGTATTTGAGAGATTGAGTAGAACAACTGATCTACAGTTGTTTGTCAGTTAAATGTCAATCAGTCTTTGTGAAACAAAAAGGACTGCTGGATTACACTGCATTTTGTAGGTAAGTGTACCTACCAAACTGGCAACTGATTGTCTGATCTGCCCTTTTACATGCCCAGGTAGCCCTCCTGGATGTGAATAAAACTGCAGGAGAGAGTTTAATGGAAGAGCTGAACAAACAATACGGAGCAGACAGAACTTTGTTTCTGAGCTGTAATGTTGAATCAGAGGAGCAGATCAAAGGTAATGCACTCACATTGTGAAAAAACAAAGTATGGAAATGGAGCTGAAGAGAGGAAAACAGCTGCACTCTGAAACGAACATGCCCAAAACCACATGAGGCTAATCAATCCCACAGTGTCTTAATGGAATTTCGTTTTTGTTCCAGTCAGCAGATGTTCGTCAGACACCAGGAAGCTCACAAACTCAAACATTTTGTCTTGAACTAATCCTATCAGGTGGCATTTATTACCAGGATGAGACAACACCCCATGAAATTATAACTCAGGTGTACAGTTACTCTGATTATAGTGAAAGAGCAAGAGTAGAAATAGTTTACAGGTCTGAAGTGGTGACAATGAACAATAGAGAGAAGAAAAAACACAATGTTAATGGTTTTCAAATGTCTTGTTTCCTTTAACAAACAAGTAAAACTGGAAAGACATTTAGTTTATTGTCAGAAGAGTGAAATAACAGCAACTGGTCAGATTTGAGAAGTTTGGAGTTTGGGCCATTTACTCTTGAAAAAAAAAAGTCTGATTCATTGACTAATCGCTGCAGCTTTGTGGTGAATGATGCCAAATTTCAAAAGTGGAAGGAAGAAGTCGGTTTGGTTGTGAAATGAAAAGACAACTGCTAACTCTATTTTCTTCCCTCAAGCTGCCTTTCAGAAAACTGCAGAAACCTTCGGAGGAATTGACATCCTGTGCAACAACGCCGGCATCTTGAATGAGAGCACTTGGGAGAAAACTGTCTCCATAAACCTTGTAAGAAGCAAAAAGAGAAGCAAACTGCATCTGGTTGGGATCACGCTTCACTTACCTGCACTGGGCTGCTGCACTTCCATCAGGGGAAACTACACAACACGTTATACAGTGATCAGTCGCAGCATTGAAACACTTACAGCTGAAGTGAACAGCGTTATCTTGTCTCATCACAATGGCATCTATTAAGTGGAGGGATTTAGAAGGCAGCAAGAGAATAGTGAAGTATTGAAATGTATGTGCAGGAAGCATGGAAAATGAGTAAGGATCAGAGCGACTTTAAACATAATAACTATGATGCTTATACAGGTGGGTCAGAGGTTTTGTGGGTTGTTCTCAATACGCAATGGTTAGCATCTAAATGGGTCCAAATGGTCCAAGTGGTGAACCAGCAACGGGGTCATGGATAGGGTTGTCCCAAGCCTGATCCTTAAGTTGGGCCAATGACAGTAATTATTTATAAATAAGCATCTGTATGAAGCTAAGCCCAATCATTGTGACAGTGATTTATGAAGCTAGCAGCATGAACGACACCATCAAGATACAAGATTATCCTGATGATTATCCTGATGTACTCCATTTTGGCTATGTGTCAGTTCATAGTCTGGAAGTCATTGGTTCTCAGAGAAGACTTTAGTTGTGTCCGAAATCATCCACTCACTCCCTACTCACTATACAGGGATCACTATATAATGAACTATGTAATGAGCACCTCGGCAAATTAACATTTCGGACGCTACTTGAGCTATTAATTACGTTGCTCACTAGCCGCTATTTGTGCCGTAGCAGCATAGTACAAACACATCACATTCACAGTTTATTGCATAGCTAAGAAACGGGTAAATAAAATTAACAAAACATAAACGGGAAATTACTTCAATTTTAATGACAAGTTTTCGCGTTCTCATTCATCTAGTTTGTGTTTCCTTTCACGCAATGCATGATGTTGCTTGGTGTGTGACCATTGGCTGTATGTTACTTTTCACAGTGCATTGTTGGATATTGTGAGTGCACTATATAGGGCGTAACATTTGTAGCTTAACATTCAGACAGCACGACAAAGTGACGAACACTCTGTATAGTGCACTGTGTAGGGTATAGTGGGTGATATCGGACACAGCCTTTGTCATGGTGGTCCTTTACTAGCTAAACTCCCATAATGCTCTCTCCTTGCAAACACAGAACTGCCCGCCTCCTCAGGTTGCAACAGTATTAAACAATAAGAGACTCCACCTGATGGTTCAATCAGGTACTACTACTTGACATGTGTATTATCTCAAAAAATGGTATTGTATGCACACCCAGAACCTCACTGATGTGGGGACTGAAGGCCCATGTGGTCTGATCCCACAGAAGAGCTACTGTAGCACAAACTGCTGAAAACCTTAACGCTGCTATAATAGAAATTTGTCAGAAGACACATTTGGTGCATATGAGACAGTAGATACAGAACAGTCAGAGTGCCCATGCTGATCTCCGTCCACTGTTATAGAGCATCTTAGCGTTAGAGCTGGACCACGGAGCAATGGAGCATCATGTGGTAGTTCGGGTTTGTTTCATTTACCCGGAGGAGATGGCAGCAGAATGAACTTTGAGAGGAAAGCAAGCAGGTGAAAGCAGTGTGATGCCCTGTGCAGTGTTCTGCTGGGAAACTCTGGGTCCTCGATTTATGTGGGGACATGACAGCTACTTCAACTTTGCAGATTACATACATGCCTTCATGCTGGCTGTATTCACTGATGCCTCTTTCAGCAGGATAATACGTCCTGCCAGTCTGCAAACGCAGTTCAGGGATGGTTTTATGAACATGACGAAGAGTTTAAGATGTTGACGTGGTCTCCAAATTCCCCAGGCCTCAATCCGATTGAGCATCTGTGGGATGTCCTGGAGAAACAAGTCCCATCCAACTTCCGAGACTTAAATCTTAAAGAATCTGCCTCAATGATGTCTTGGTACCTAATGCAGGCACTGACTCCAGGCATCAACCTCAGAGCTGTTCTGGCTGTAGAAGGGCCACCTACACAACATTAGGCAGGTGGTTTTAGTGTTGTGGCAGATCGGTGTGTTTGCTGTGCCTCGTGAATTCATGAACTGCTGCCACAAACTGAACATTTTTTTCAGCGGTTATTCTCACGACATGATTTGGAAACCTAACAGTTAAATTTAGCAGCCTTAAGCTGCATTATGCTTCCTGTTTCATTTCACAACATTTGATGCACAAATGACTGCATGCAAATGTTCATGGACAGCAAACAAATCATTTTTAGCTGTACCAAATATACATCAAACCAAACTGTGTGTTGTAGATGGGCGTTATCAGGGGGACGTACTTGGCTCTGGAGCACATGAGCAAGTTGAGCGGAGGTCGAGGAGGAGTCATCATCAACACAGCATCCATGGCAGGTAAAAACCACGATGTACAAGTAATGGGATTCCTTGCATCAATTTAGAAACATATTGGACAGAGACAGCCTTTTTTTAGTTTGTTTTGTGAATTTGGAATTTTATGTGTTGCCTCATGATTTCTCACTGCATGTTTAAAGGAAGAGTCAGCAAGTACAGCAGAAAAAACATTTTGATGACAATATTATTAGTATTTGAAATGTTGTACAGGCAGTCTGGAAGAAAAAAAGTCTGTACACAGCCAATAGCATGAATAAATACACATTTAAGCAGTGAAGATTGGAAAAATATACATCTTTATATTTTGTATATAAGCAGCATCTTGTAATAAAAGTTTTAAAAAGAATTCAGATTTTTTTTTTATCATTTAATGTACTATAAACAATCTTTATCTTGGCCATTTGGCAATACCTTGGCACCATTTTTGCAACGCAACAGAAAGATCTCCATGTGTAACAGCACACTCATTGGATCTCTACGAAATGCCATCAGATCTCGACCTTATCATATAAAACTGAAAGATTTTGCATGAAAATTGGAGGGAGTGTTGACAGGAACCTTCACGGTGACCAATAACACTCATGTCCTGCAGGTATCGGTCCTTTGCCGACCTGTCCTGTCTACACAGCCACCAAGAGCGGAGTGGTCGGCTTCACCAGAGCCATGGCGGTAAGAAAAGATTCCCTCTGACAAAGTACAGGGAGAAAAAGATTTCAGAAAAACTCAAGTTTATAGTTTTTGGTTTGGAAGGTTAAGTCACACTCCTCTTCTCATTTCTTGTACATCCTTAATTCCTTTCCTCAACTCCTCTCCTCACATCTTAATTCTTCCCACCAGACGTGATCAGAAAGGAGAAAAAGACACAAGCTGAGAGGAATTGAGGAATCAGGCATTTCATGAAAAGTAGACATTTTTGCTTCAAAGCTGTTCTACAGCAACATCAATTAAATGTTTTAATAGTCAATTAACTGATTTAATTTTCTTTTTTAATGGAAAAAAAGTCTAAATTCTCTCACTCCAGCTTTATAAATGTGAATATTTTCTGGTTTCTTTCCTCCTCTGTGACAGTAAACGGAATATCTGTGCGTTGTGGAGAAAACAGGACATTTGAGGACGCCGTCTTGAGCTTTGGGACACAGTGGTCCACACTTTTCACTATTTATCGACGTTTTATAGACTGTGCAGCTAATTGTTTCATCAACAAAATAATCGACAGACAGTGAAAATACACGTTTGCTGCAGCCACTTAAGTAGCAAGTTCCATTACAAGCTACTCAGAAAAAGTAGAAACATTTACTGTGAACTATTTAATAAGTAAATGCACTGTTGTCATTTTAGATTGCGATTAAGGAGTCTGCAGGATTAGTGCACAAGCAACACTGCTAACAAGTTAGCAATGAAGACTCAGTCAGGAGCTGTCAGGGCTGTTTGTTTGCAAAAAATAAATAAATGCAGCTTTAAAATCAAGGTATGTAAATGTAGTAGAATAAGATGCCTAATCATTTTTTATCAGACTGCCTCTGCTGCATCGGGCTACGGAATACGGATCAACGTCCTTTGCCCAGGTTTCGTCCAGACTGACCTCATGTCCAACATCACTACCAGACTGGGACAGTTCTCCCACCTGGCTGATTTAGCCCATCAGCTAATAGACAAGATTGGGATAATAAAGTAAGCCCCTGCATGTGTCTTTTTGTTAAAGTTTTAGGAAGCCTCACAGCAGCTAGAGTTTGTTCTACGGTATGCTGTTGATGCATCTTCACTTTATTCATTCAGGGTGTCTGACGTGGCTGAGTGCCTCCTCGAGCTGGTGACGGATGACACCAAAAATGGAGAAGCACTCATGGTGTTTGAGAAAGGAAGGCAATACGTGAATTTTCCATCCTTCACCCAGTAGCTCTCGGCAGAATATCATCCCTCAGACTGAATCCTGCAATCAATGTTCCTCAGTCTTTTCATGTATGAAATTTAACTGAGCAGCAGATGAGGAGTTCCATCTTAAATACCTTTAAGAGTTGTCGAGATGTTGTACATAAAAACATCCTCATTAATTTGAACATCGGCAATTTGCTTCTTTACTGTTTTTTGTAAATTTTCGAGTTATAGAACTGCTAAATATCAATCAACACTTTTGCTAAAGTACAGAAAATGTGTTCACATGTGTGTAAACATGTGGATCTGCACATGTTAGGGTGATATTGTGCAAACTGAAGGTGGGACATTTGAAAATTTACAAAAAGACAAAACTGCAACGTTGTGTGTTGACCATCAGGTGCTGCTCTTTAGCTGAAAAATGCACCCATCCTAATGGGTCAGTTCATTTATAAAATCAAGTTTGAATTTAACTGTTTCAACCACTCAATTTTTTAAAAAAAGGAGAGAAATTTTGTGTTTTCTATGGAATTATGTCATTTTGTTGCTTTTTTACATCATGAAAGTAGATTCAGAGTCTAGTTCTTTGTGATTTTATTGAAAAATGAAATTTAGACACATGTTGTCCAGGAGTTGTATTGTGTAGATAATTTCCATGTTTTAGCAACGAGGAAAGTTGCCGCACTTGGAGCCGTCCCAACCATGACTATCGGTTACCCCAGTAACCACTTTAAATTTGCACCACCTAAACTTCTATTGCACGTACAAAACCCCATAAATAACACAATTTATCATTTCAAACAACACACTTGCTTTTTTAACCCATGTTGAAGCACTTGAGTTCTGTTTGTAACCCACACATTTAGTTAACTTTTGTAATGTTCAGCATTGTTTAGTTGAAGTTGTACTACCAGAGCTGCCAATCAGACCGTACCAAGTGGCTGCCGCTTCAAAGGGTGGACAGGGTATATTTGATTTAAATATTACTTTACTCATTTGATTTGTGTTGGGTAATTAGTTATATTTTGTGGTTGTTTACTATTATTATTTTGATTAATCAGACCAGTTGTACTGTTTTGTGCTTTTTGTCGTTAGTTTAGGTGTAGGTGTTGTATGTTCCCCCTATTGTGTGGAACTGGTCTGATCAGCCAGTACATACAGTGGTCTTCAAATGTATTCATACCCCCCTACTAAAGAAGGAAAAAAACCAGCTGTCACTGAAATAAGTTGAAATTGACAAAAGTAATAATAAATAAAAAATTTTATGAAAATCATGACATTGCTTTTGAATTGTGGTTCAACAGAAATAGAATATATATTTATATAAAACCAAGCAAACAAGCATGATGGGACCCGTAAACTAATATTTTCAAATTCTGTGACTTCTTTCAAATGACCTCTTAAAGCAAATTTTTAGACTTTAGACTTGCTTTCATGTGAAAACATATCTTTTATTAGGGTTTTTATTACTTTATGTTTATTATTACTGACATGATGTATTGTTGCATCTTTTATCTTCTTGTTTTAATTTTTATTGTAATTTCTCTTTTATTTTGCCCTGCTTTGTTTGGCCTTGGTGCCTGCCTTTTGCCTTCTGTACGTCCTGCTTTTGCTCTTTCAGTCGAAGTACTTTGTTTTTAAAATGCAATGTCAATAAAATTACTGTCATAATGTCACCCAGTGCAACAGCGCCTTTAACTGTGACCTTAATAACATGTAACTGAGTGAACACGTTTCCAACAATGCCATCAAAAAAACGGACATTATTAGCTTTGTCAGAATAGATGTAAAGCTGCTGGAAGATCAGGAGCAAAATTAATAAAACTGCTGGAGTATTATTATCTTAGAATATTATAGTCCAGGTGCTTCCAGGATAATGTTTAATTTGTCTGTGCTGCCTCTTTATGATCTGATCAAAGCTGGCGGAGGGAATAAAACAACTGGCTGGATAAAACTATGAACTTTGGCAGGTAAACAAATAAAACTCCAGTAACTCCTGTAACTGATTACCTGTCTCTGTCAGGTGTTGTTTATCTGCAAATAACTGATACACAAACAGCATCATTTATACCCAAAGTTCTTTGTATTTTGGTAGTTTTTGTGTCACGGCCAGTTAATGAAAAGGGATTTCTTTGCTAACATTTGTTATCATGTCACATCGTTTTGTTTTGTTTGTTTTTTTTAAGGTTCTTAAATGTAATTGGCTCTAAAACCAGAAAACAGATGACTGAATTGAACAGAAGTCTGTTCGAAATTTGATGATTTATTTAACATGAAATCCACAAAGAGAAGCATCTTAACTGCATGGTTCTTACAGGGGACTTGGTTTGGACTTGGTTCATGGTTCTGTATGATGGTGTTGTAGTTTCTCATTTCCAGGAGCTTCTAGATCGGGTTGGGAAAAGGCACGTATGTCTTCTCATTATGTTTGACCAAGATGGCCTCTCCATTCTTCGTCTCATCTGTCACCAGCTCGAGGACGCACTCAGCGACCACAGATGGACTGAAATTTTAAAAAAAACAAACAAAAAAAACAGTTTAACAGAATAAATCTGTTAGCAATTACATGCAGTTTGACTTGCAATACAACTGGAACGCTCCATTAAAATCCATCACAATTTCTGCTCAACCATCTCAGATTTGCCTAAAATAAAATACATTTTATTACATATTATTTGGAAAGATTTCTACTTCACATGACAATCGACCCACTTTAATCTTTCAATCGACCAAGTGGGGTTGGAAAATGATACGTATGCAAATTTTGAAGTGTACACAAAAAATGAAAATGCTTCCACCACAGCATTAAAAGCTGTTTTACATAGGGAGCAACTTATTGTATATTCACAGATGGGCTTAAGAAAAACAGATTAGATTCTGGTGTTAACATTAAAAAAAATAAAAAATAAAAAAAAGACAAAGGCGAAACGTTTGCTTTAAAAGTTATGCAAAGACTTACGTTATTATCCCCATTTTTTCCTCTAATTGCTTGGCTATATCACGCAGCTGGGAGAATTGTCCCAAGTTGACTGGAATGTTGGCTTGAAGGTCAGTTTGGACAAAACCTGGGCAGACTGCGTTGAAGCGAATACCGTAGCCTGAGGCAGTGGAGGCCATCTATAAAAGACGCATACAGACATGCTTCAGCACAAGTTAAAAACACAAGCAAAACATAAAACTAAAGTTGTTATGTGTTATTTTTGGTATCATTAAGCTGCATAGTATTCTCACCGCCATGGATCGAGTGAAGCCCACGACGCCATGCTTCGTGGCCGAATACACAGGACAGGTGAAAAATGGGCCCAGACCTGTGGGATGCAGGTTTTATCCGTGACATCAGGGTCAAAATTTTAATTAATAGTGAGGTCCCTCTAGTTTCTCATTTTCCTTCTAAGTGCTATCAGCCATTTCTGTTCACCACGTGGTCTGTACCTGCCATAGATGCTGTGCCGACCATGACTCCGCCCCGACCTCCAGTCAACTTGTTCATGTGCTGCAGGGCCAAAAACGCCACCTTGATATGACCCACCTGCATCACAGGGTGGAAATATGCACGTCTCTTTCAACCTTCCACTGAACTGACACAAAAGCATCCTGGGTTCATTTGGGAATCAAAACACTTGGAGATCTGTCAGCTGCTCTTACGAGGTTTATGGAGACAGTTTTCTCCCACTCGCCCTCATTCAAGATGCCAGCGTTGTTGCACACGATGTCAATCCCTCCGAAGGTTTCTACTGTTCTCTGAAGGGCAGCTTCAAAGGAGAAGATGACACCGTCAGTTTTTCATTTCACATCGAAGTTGACATCTTCACAGAAATGTAAAAGTGCCATCTTGAAGCAAAAGTGTTTTTTTTCCAGAGTGATGCCACAAAAACAAAACACGTTTTTCTTCTGTATTTTTCTCCCACTAACAAGGTTTGATCATTTAATTAATGCTTACATTTTCTATGCACCATGTCAGTTAACACATTTTCTTTTTTTTCCCCCTTGCTAATCTTTATTTTATTTAATACAACCACAACCTTCCCTGAACCTTAAAAATGCCCCATATTGTGCACCTTTTCAACAAATGAATTAAAGTCTTATGTGTCCCTAAAATCTGTCTCGAATTTTTTTCCAGGTCAAAATACCACAAAGATGTTTCACTTCACCAAAACTGTATAACTCCTGGTTTTAATCCTGTTCTAAATGGGCTGCGTCATGGTCTGTAGCTTCAAATGTCCTTTTTATTGGTTTACAATCAGCCTCTCTAAATGTCCTTCAGCATTACAGTTGTTTTTTCATGTTATGTAAATGTTTGCAAACTGTGTGTGTGTGTGTGTGTGTGTGTGTGTGTGTTACCTTTGATCTGCTCCTCTGATTCAACATTACACTTTAGGAACAGACTTTTCTCTTGTCCGTACTGTTTGTCGAGAGCTTTCTTCAACGTTTTCGCCTCAGTTTCCTTCACATCCAGGAGGGCTACCTGTACAGATGAAGGTCCATCAAAGAGCTATGGACAACATGCTTGTTGTGGCTGTACTTTTAGTCTGCAGATTAAAATGCAACACTGTTGTCTGCATTCAACAACATTCATTGACACTTTATAATGTAGCTTTGGGTTCAATGCAGACTCTATAGATATGATATCACTTTCGTGTCACTTTTTTAGGCCATAAAAAATTGTGATAGTGTACTGTATGCACTGTAAGCTGTACATAGACTACTAAACATATAGTGGAATTAATCTTTTTACAGGATATTGTTGTGGCGTTTTCGTTCTTTTGAGATAGAAAACAAACTACTTCTCTCATTTAGTGTTATTTATTCTGCAATATAATATTTTACTTGATCAAGGATCCATTACTGATTCAGAAAATCTCAGTCAGCTTATAGGGGGATGGTATGTTTGTGGGTGCAAAATACTGATAGGTATGTGTGTGTGTGTGTGTGTGTGTGTGTGTGGCTGCATTCCTTCTAGCTGACCTTGCTTAACCTCCCTGAGTTTGGTCTCTCTGGCATGAATGTATTCTTCTTTCCCCTTGTTAAGATCAGCACAACTCACACATTGACACACATTAAATGATGCTAGTGTCAATTATAAGCTATCAGTCCTTTCACAAAATTAAATATTCCAACAATATAAAGCAAAACAAATGCTTTTGTCATTGTTATAACTGTAATGCTATGAAAATGCACAGCATACAGTAAGTGAAGTAATACTTTACCTTGGCACCATTTTGCAAAAGTATCTCCGTTATTGCTCTTCCAATGCCCTGAGCTGCTCCAGTTACTACTGCAACTTTATCATTTAAGGCCATTTCAGCTGTTTGACAACAAGAGAGGTGGAACACGATTGTGTGATTCCTGCAGGAGACCAGCCGCCTTTTATACACCCCATGTCAAGCTGTCAGAGACTGACAGTTAAACATTAACCAGGTACACTGATGTCAGTATAGTGCCATTTAGGCACTGATTCGCCTTAAAATCAAAGTAAATAAATTTCTGTTCGTGCAGGCAAATGAGGTTTGTGGCCAAAGTTCAGAAAAATTAACAGAAATCGAGAATACAAATTCTGTCCGAAGTATTTCATGTTAAAAAAATATCCTGTGGAGTTTTTGGCCACTAGTTGTGCTGTGGAGCTTTTTTTCCCCCCCATGGGTGGATGACTGGTTGTTTTGTAACATGCATGTGCAAGAGGACACAGTGGATTTACACATGTTAAACACACGTTAAACAATACACATTCCTGCAGCTGGTTTCATACTAATCAATATTTAGGGACTGGGGAGAAACAAAATGTTGCAAAGTGCAAACAAACAATTGAACTAATTCTTGAGTGACAATCCTAATTTTAAGTAGTGCTGCAGCACATGCAATTGCAGCCATATTTCAGATCAAATAACAATAAAAGAATGTGATGAAGAAAGTAGCACAGACACCCCCTACCCCTAGTGTCATTCACTGTTATTGATAATTCCCTTACCTTTAGTAACTTTCTGTCAGACCCCTCATTCTCTTATCATTTGTTGTCTACCAGACTGCTTGATTCAGTCACCTTTTGCTCTCTTACCCCCTGTCATTGGCAATCAGTGGCAGCTGGTTAATACAGGGCGCAGGGGCGCTGCCCCACTAATGACCAGATAAAAGTAATTCTTAAATGTAAAATTAAGTTTGAATTATAACAGCAACAACAACAACAAAATAATAACGCTCATATTATTTTGCTATATTAACAATATTTGTATTATTAACCGATTTAATATAAGTCTTTATGCGTGTTTACTAATTTTACACTTCCTGTATGCGGGGCGCCGGCCACAAGAGTGTGTATGCAGCTCGAAAAACTTGTCGTGATCATGTGACCTTGGCCCGGGCTCTGATTGGTAGCTGCAGACGGCGCGTCCACTTTTGCTGTAAGCCAATTAATTTTTGTCTTTATTTGCTTTTGTCTTCTGTGGTTGGATATCAAAACTGTCCTTTGGCGTTCGTATGACTGCGCTTTCGGACCCCGTCCCACGGCCTTTCCTCTGCTCCTTGATCACAGCGACTGTCGTGACGGCGAAATGCATTGGCCAACGCTGTCAATGGAGAAAAGATTGCTCATAGAAAAGACCGTGTGTAGAATACATGTAACTCGGTTTAACCTCGGGCAAATTTGACATGAGAACACCCTAGTTCATTATTTTTAAAGTAATCATCGTAGAAATAGATCGATCCCACCGAGTGGTTGAAAGAATGCATTAGTAATGACAAACCAAAATGAGTCTCTGTGAGTTGTATAAGAATGAAGCCATTTCAGTTTTAACACACCATTCATGACAGAAAAATCAATGGCATTCATACCTCCATCTTCTAAACTTTTCACAATATCCATCTTTCGAATGTAATGACACCTGTTTTTCCGAATAAAATTGAAGTTGATGGTGTTAATTAACTTGGTTGCTTTATCAGGAATGCTCATAGAATAAGCTGGATAAATTACTCTTGATAGACTGTCCATTTTAGAGAGCAAGACTCTTCCAATTAAGGTTAAGTCCCTCTGCAGCCAAGAATTCAAGATTAGTTTACATTTTTCAATGTTTCTGTAAATATTCTCTCTCTCTCTCTTATTTCTCTATTTTTAGTAGCTGTCAGGCCAAGGTATTTAACTTCTGATTTGACCTTTATGTTTCCAATAATGTGTGGAGGATTGTTATGCAAGGCTAAAATCTCACATCTGTTAACATTTAAACCTAAGCCTGAAGCAGTGGAAAAATGAGAAATATACTCTAGTGCTTTTAAAATTTCATCTTCATTTTTTAAAAACAAAGCCGTATCATCAGCGAATTGACTTATCTTTAAATGTCTCTCTGAAATTTTAAGGCACTCAAGTTCAACATTCTTTATCAGTACCGCTCAGGCCAGCTGACAGCCTTCCCTGGGCCCGGGACAAGATGATATTAGATGGCCAAATAACGCTACAAGGCTGACAAACGCTGGCTCCGCTGTTTCTTACATTGCTCTACGTTGACTTTACTAGTTCCAGCTTCGTTGTCACCACCTTTTTTAAAAATATTTTTTAAGCAAATCTCTAAGGCCTCTATTTTCTTCCTCTTTTTTTCTCTTCTTTTTCCTTTTCTGAGCACCAAACTTCTGCTGAGTGGACATTTTGGTGCTGAAGTGCAAAATCCGAACTTCCAATAAAAGGACATCAGATGTTGATCAGAGGCCAAACCATTTTATGTTGGAGGTGGGGGTGGAGGGCAATTCCAAAGATATTAAGGACAGTTCAGATGAAAACAAATTAAAACTTCTAACTCAAATATTGCACTGTTTCTTTCCATTGATAGCCCTTCTTTGGGGAAAGAAATCCATAATTCTATGAGGGTCCAGTTCTGGGCCCCCCCCCTCCACTCTGGGCCCGTTTGTCCCCCCCTATCAGCGGGCGTGCTCACACCACTACGTGTATGTAATGCTATATATGGATATGTAGTAACCCTAGCAAAATCAGTGTATTTACAGGAGTTCAGGGGTACCAACAATGGTCTACATCGTTGTCGACATCCTTGTGAGCTTCAGTCTTATCCTCTCCGGGCTCAGAGAGGGAGACCAGTGGAACAATTTCACCTGCATGCTGGGATAATTGATAAGGAGGAGGTGTAGGGAATTTATCATAACACTTAGGTCCTTCGGACCTCCCTCTCCTAGGGCGCAGTCCCAGGCTAGACCCCTTTCCACTGAGGTCTCCACCCAGGCTCCCCTGGAGACAACTCAGCCTTCTGCTTCCCAGTGTCTTCTTTTCAAAAACACTGATCACATATATGGAAACCTAGATCTCAACAACAGTCTTGTGGGAGTGCTTGTGCGTTTCCGGTCCGGCCCTTATGCAGTTATGACTGACGTGGAGCAAATGTTTCACAATTTTGTGGTCAAAGAAGACCATCGCAACTACCTCCGCTTTCTCTGGTTCGAATCCATGGACGCTTCATCATTTATCAATGCATTGCGTCGCTTTTTCGCCATCAGAGGTGCTGCCTAACTACTCAGGTCTGACTGTGGGACCAACTTTGTAAGCGCCTGCAGAGAGCTACAAATAGACAAACAAGGCTGTAACAACCCCAAAATTGACTCCTTTCTGAAAGACAGCCAGTGTCAGTGGCAGTTTAACCCCACGCATGCATCCCATTTGGCGGGCTCCTGGGAGTGAATGATTGGAGTCACACGCCATATTCTGGATGCAATGCTGCTGGAACACAAAAATGCAATGCTCACACATGAGGTTTTGGTGACATTAATGGCTAAAGTGACTGCGACAGTAAATACACGGCCGCTCACAGCAGTTTCTACAGACCCACAAAACCCACTGATCCTTACATCTGCCATGTTGCTTACCCAGAAAGTCGGAACTCCTCCAATTCCACCTGGTCACTTTGAAAGCCATTACCTATTCAGAGCACAGTGGAGACGTGTGCAGCACTTGGTCAATGTCTTCTGGAGCCGGTCTACGTCTAGGTTTTTTGTTTTTTGGGGTTTTTTTTCTATGGTGTCTGTGACCTGTGCTCGTAATTTTGTTCTAAGTGCATTTTAATTTCTTTTAATGTACTATTTGAATGACAATAAAATCTATCTATTTATCCATCTGTCTATCTATCAAGATTACATTGTGTTGTTTCATTTGAGAAGTTATACAGAAAAAAACTGTTATATTATTGCACTTGTAGAGCTATAAAGAGAACAGTGTTATATGATGGTGTAGCGCTTAAAGGGCTGTAAACAGTGTTGTAATGTAGGTATAGAGCCACCCAGTCTGTGTAGGGAGGAGGTGTGGGTGGATGGATGGGTCAAGAAAACACAAGCCTTTAACATAGGATTGCATTAGCTAAAATTTATTATGGATTAATATAGACGAGATTAAAGATTTACTCACAAAATATAGGGCCAGTTTAAAATGTTTCATTTTAATCAATCAAAGTGGCTTCGGGAGGCTTGTGAGTACAGCAGTACTGGACCAGTTGTCATTCTGGGTGTGTCCCAGTATTTATAGTGTTTTTTTTTTTGCCAGCACCAGCTCAGTAACGATATCCCTTGTACTCCTCTTCAGTCTGCAGAGCAGCTTTACCACGTTGGGCCCACTGAACCGCGGTGAAAAACAATGTTTCCGCCCGGTCTCGAACCGGGGACCTTTCGCGTGTTAGGCGAACGTGATAACCACTACACTACGGAAACGAGCCATACGTCAGAGGGGGGCGAATTGACACCAAATACGGGAGCAACAGGCTTGAAACCCTATAATAATCGATTCTATGTGCTTTATTTTCGGCTCCACAGCTCTTTTGCTGGAGACAGTTAAAGCTTTCCAAAAGTTTCTACTATGTCACCTCATTATAGTCACATCATAAATTGCATCATTTGAAAAATTTAATTTAAATAAATAATTCTTACATTATAACATTAATTAAAAGAAATGCCTCATCAAAGATGTGACATATGCTTGTTTTCTAATCAATTTCTATATAACTTGATACTATACCTTAATTATATATATATATTTATATATAGATGTGTGAAGAGTTCTTTTGCAAAACAGATAACTCCGTTTTTGTAGATTTTCAGACAACTATTTTTTGTTGTTTGAGATGATATCAATCAAACTGAAGTTGAGTGGGTTCGACTCAGTAGAAATGACATGACAAAAATAGAGATAACTTAAGTTTGATTGATATTGTCTCAGGTAGACGATGGAAAAGTGGATTGGTTTGTGAAAATGTAGTTATCTGTTTTTGCAAATGAACTCTTCATATATATATATATATATATATCAATAGCACTGACATGCAATACTGTTATTTCTATAATCTAGTACTTAGGTATATTTTGGCTTATTTAAAAAAAAACCACAACATTTTAATACTACATTTCCTAAATGTTTGAACTATCTTTTACTGCTGTAACACTACACATTTCCCTGCCGTGGGATGAATAAAGGCTAATCTTATATTATTTTAATTTATTTGAAAAGCGTACAACAGGCCTAAGAAAAAAAAACATACTTTCAAAGATACTGGCTATAGTTAAATTACTTAGACTGTATTTGCAGTTCTCATACAAATTAAACAGTATGTAAGACAAAGTGCTTTACAAAACTAAAGGAAACTGGGACCAAGGAAAGGTCATAAATGAACACAAAGAGATGCCTCACTGTGGGGTTTTGTTCTAACTTTCGGTATAATGTATATGTATGGGAAATGTATGGGGGGTATCATTCAAATGTTTTTTAAAGTCATGACATGTGAATTAAAGTCATGTAAAACCAACCCCAATTTTTACATTAAAACATTTTTTTTTAAATTTAATGTGCATGTGCACATGGGAGCCGGATACAGACACGGAGACTCCAAACATGGACAACAGCTTACAAGCCAAACATATAACTTAAATATGGCAAGTGGCCAACAACTATAATTCACCTTCTTTTCTGCTAGAAAAAAAGCATGGATTCATGAATAAATCAGCTAACAGATAGGCTCAAAGATCGTCTATGACGATCGAGTCTGTGCTAGGACATGAAAACACAGACAGAGTGGGAATTCTTAGGTTTTCCTCTTTCCTCCGCTGTCTGCTCATCTGTTGCGCATGCGCACTACACGGCGCTGGTCGTGTGTGGGAATTATGGCCGTCGAGATGCAGACGGAGGATTTTCCTTACTTACCGTCGGGACCGGCGGAGAGTATGACCTGCTTCTTTACTAATTTAACGGTTATATTAATAGAACACCGCACCAGTGCACCCAATAACAGTCTGAGCGAATGAATGTATGCTAAAATACCAGCCTTGTTGGTGTTAGCTTCCTCCAAGCTAACGTGACTGATGAGCGCAGAGGTTTGCTATGAGTATGCTAAGCTAAGCTAGCCGTAGCCGTTTCGGCTCCAAGGTCGACGAGAGCATGTCTGCATCCGATGTTGGTGCTGAATGACTGTGAATCATTTGCTCTGCTTGTGGAGCAGTCAAGACCGCTACAGGCATCGTTAGACTGGGTTCAGCTGACACGCATGTTTTAGGTGTTATGCTAGTTGCTAATGTCTGCAATCACGGTCTGACTTGTGTGTTTAGTTGCTGCAAGACATATGCTACATTTGAACTTTTGAATGGGCAGCGTTGCAGCTAAACTTTGTTCAATTGAGCTTAAAGTGATTTCTAGATGCACATGTGTGACATCTGATGTTGTCGTGCTTCTCAGTAGAGCTTCAGCGCTGTCTGAGTGAACCACCGGTGCTAACTGACTGTAAAACAGATCCTCTACTTGCACACTTCAGTCCACCTCTCTGAGTCTAAATCTGTGCTCCTGATGTGACAGTGACAGCGATATCAACACACATTAGGCCACGACCAGAAATGTTGTCTCAGCAGTTAATAAAGTGTCTGTAACTGGAGATGTGGCAGAGTGGATATCTTGAATTCTTCTTACACTCAGTGTTATGTGGCTTTCCTTCTCTGATCTTAAGGCTGCACTACATCCAAGTGAGGCTTTTTTAGAGTTTATCATGCTGTTGCTGGGTAGTTCATTTGAATGAATAATAGGGCTGGGAGATTTGGAGAACATGTCTTATTGCCATTATTTTTATTTTAGTTTCACTTCAATAGTCACTGTGTCATAGGTTTAAAACGTGTTGGATCACTATCACTGCTCTAGTTTCTGATGCAAGGGTGCTTCAAACATGTATATATTACATTTATTAAATGGCACAGGACATAGAATGATTATCACAAAATGCTTGACTGTGTTCAGCTAAATAAATAAAGTAATAGTTAATAAAATAACTCCAACAAGCACATAGCAGGACATTTCTGTAAATGGTCTGACTTTGAAACAGGGAGATGATTCATGGCTCAGACGCCGCATGAAAATATCGTACTTTTAATTAAGTTAAATAAAGTAATAATAATTGAAAAAAGCCCTGAGTCAGGCGTGCTGCATCGCCTCTATCCTCAATTGCAGCCTCTGCATTTTGGCCAGTTGCATTATTTCATACTGCAATTTGAAATTGATTGATTGTGCAGCTGTAGTAGACTGCGAATGTCACTACCTGCTTGTTTATCACACATTGACGTGCATTGCCAATTTTCATTTTCCAGACTTTATCAGAAACCAAATGTTGTCCCCAAACTACCGTCAGATTGTGACTTCTAGTAATTTGCTAACAGTCATACTTTGAATAGCTGCAAATAGACAAACTGCATTGAAAGAGAGCAAGTAAACAAATTAGTTTTTCAGGTGTTTATTGTTAGGAAAGTGTTGCAATGTTGTTAATACTTCCCCTCTACTTAATTTGCATGGTCCCCTGCTGCCTTTTCTAGTGATTACAGTTTTAATACATGTGGTATTAAATGAAGTCATGCCCCTTTTTTTTACAAATGTATTTATAGATGTCATTTATCAACAGCATGCCGCTTTACAGAGGAATTTAAGATAGTTAAAATCAGGAAAACAAAAAGAAATGCCAAAATCATATAGTAAATGTAAGGGAGGCTCGAATGCAGTTGTAAAAGTGAGTCTTTAGCTGGGGTGTACCTGTGGCAATAGATGTAGAGGATGTGACAGTGAGAAATAATCTTTTCAAGTCTGGGAGCAGCACCAGAGCAGTGGCACTTTGTCACATCACACAACCGAGTCCGTGGATTTGCTCACATTGCACAAGTGCCAAATACCGCAGGAGCGTTGCAGCTGTCTGTTAAAGTCCTGCCGTGTCTGACGCTGTATGAAGTATTTGTGTAGCTGACGCCTTAATCTGAAAGACAAAAAGCCATAACAGGATTTTGAAGCCAGTAATGTGACACGTTTAACATCTTAAAGGCACAAATTTAATTGTGCTCCTGCAAACTATCTCGCTAAGTAAACGACATCACGACATGTCACTCTCCTACAGCGTCCTATCCAAACAAATTCAATCCCCTGCCTCTCTGTATAATACGCCACCTGTCCTTTTTTTCTCCTTTTTTTTTCCCTGTCACGCCTTTGAGTCGATGCATCAAGGTGAATTAACGTTCCAGATTGTACGAGCCAAGAAGGATGACTCAGACTCGGTGTAAGGTCTGAAACATGCTTCTGTGTCTTGGAGTATGTTGTTCGCAGATGTCTGCATAGGCGTTACCGTGACTAAAAGGGGCATGTGGTATTTACTGGTGATGAAAGAGAAAGCTGTTCGAAAAGGGTCTTGTTTTGCAGAACTCTTAAAATAAAGGTAATACACGGAGCCATTGAAGCTGGACATCACTGAGCTGTCACGTCCTTGATGTATGAAAGGAGTATCTTGAGCGGATTTGCTGTTTGAACTGTTGTCATGGATAGTTTCCTTACACTGTGTTATAATTACATTTTCCCAGAAGATGTAACCTGATTTGAAATCTCCTGTTTCTCTCTTCCCCTCCTGCAGTAAATAAGATGATAAAGGAGCATGGCGACCTGTTTTCTGACTCCCAGTGTAAAGTCTGCAGTGCTGTCCTAATTTCTGAATCTCAGAAGTTGACTCATTATCAGGTCAGTGAGCCCCGTCTGCTGCTGCTGTTACAGTGTCGGGGGACTTTAGATGGTGCTTAGATACTCAATTTTAAAGGTGGAAAACTGTATAATTATCTGCTAAAATGTTTGATTATCTAATGCTCTGTACACCACATTTAAAGTGTTGTTATTCCTGTGAGCACACATATCAAACAGTAAACTGAAAAGCATAAAGTTCTTGGTAGGCAGTCTTTGTGTTATAATCAAATCACTGCTTTCTTCACAATTTGTGTGACAACAGAACAATATATAAATAAAAACAACTCAGGTAGAATTTTGGCTCCAATAAATCACAAATTAAATGCATCACAGAGGGCTAGAACAGATGTTGAACCAGGTGAGGCTCAGCAGAGAAAGGAGACTTCTGGTCACGCTGCTCACCAGATGTTCACTCTGATGCACGGTTTTCCATTTTGCCAGCTTAAAAAAAAACAAAACAGGATAATAAAGAATAGATGAAACTGTTTTGCTGTTATTGCGGCTTGTTTTCAGTGCATACAGAAATCGTCACACCTACCACCTGGAAATTCTTAGTGTCTGCAAAGCTTTTTCACACGTGAACTGCATTTTAGGCAGTAGTTTGAATAATAGCACTGAATACTGTTAGAGGGCAATGATTTCAGTGCCAGTACCAAAATAATACCTTCTGTGTGCCTTACCTTTCCAGGCTATAAATCCACAGCAACAAGAAGAAGATTAATATGATGCCTATAGTTGTTTTAGTCAAAAAGCACAAAACTGTTTATTCACAGTGATACTAAACCCAAAGAAAAGCAGCACATCTTTGTGTTTGAAAGGTTGTAATTACGTAGTATTTACCATTTATACTGCAGTAATATAGTAGTAGATAGATGATAGAAACTACCAGTACATAAGCGAAATTGTCAAGCTAATCATGATGTAAATAATCAATTTTTACATTTTATCAAAAGCGTCCCTGCATGAACATGTGCATCCATAACAAACACATGTTTTCTTGTTCAGGATTTAATATAAATGTTATTGTCTGCTTGCTTAAGTTGTTCAACAGCAGTTACAAGGTTTCTGCACACTCTTCAAAAATCTAAATATCAGTAATCTGAATTTTAAACTTTCGACGGAAATACAAATCTCACAGGTCTTAAACATTTTTGCTATTATAAATAATTACTTTTGTAAAGTTGCATTAACTTTAGTTGTTTTTTGGGAAGCATTTTTTTTTATCACACTGTAGCAAAACTATAAAATTAAACCAGCATGGAACCAATGTCTACTCATGTAAACTGTATAGCCGGGTCAGCATTTATCAGAACACGCTCAGCTACTGAGGTTCGATGTGGCGTCTCCTTTTATCAAAAATAGCTACTTGTGAACGTAGTATGTTAAAAATAGGACTTTAATGTATGTGAAAGTTCAACAAGATCTGGGTTGAGAACGGTGCATTTAATGCTGGTTTAAACCTCCTTCACCCTGTGAAAGAAAAACACTCAAATTAGAAACTTTAGGTGTGAAGTTTCTTGGAAAAGCAAAACAAAAAAAAATCACCAGAAAATGTCATGAGAAAAAAAACTGTAATCCCAGAATGTTGTCCTGTATTCACTGTGGGAGTTTCACCACATGCTGACCCATTTAATGTGTTTAATGTGCTGGATGTTTGTTGTCCGCTTTATGAGAAACACTTGTGCTTCTCTTTTCAGAGCAAGAAACATGCCAACAAAGTGCGGCGTTATCTTACAATGCAAACTGAGGAGACGGCGATCAAAAAGATGAAGCCGTTATCGTCTGACACAGTGAGTGAAAACGGTTCAGCTGCGAATGTTTTCTGTTAGTACACTGCTGAACCAAAACTAACATGAAGAAAGCTTCTTGCTGTGACTACTACTGTTCACTTATCAATTAAGTGTTAATTTGAAAAAAAAAAAAAGAACTCCGAAAAGATCTTGAGCAAACCCAGCAGTGGGCTCCTCTGACAGTTGTGCAGGTGGTTTGTGTCTTGTAAGAGTCACTGAATGTTTCTGTCATAACCGCCTGATCCTCCAGAACCCACTCACCAGAGTCGGTTCTTCAAAAAGCCAAATTTGAATTTGAACTAATGTGACATTAATTCAAATAGGTTCAAACACAGTCCAGGTAGTTCATCCAAAAAAAAAAAGAAAAGTCTTGGCTGTGGTCACATGCCACTTCCCGCTCATTTCAACGAGGAACAGACTGAAAGGTGTGGACTGTTCACTTCACGCAGAGTCCAAACAGATTGAAGTCACATGAAATGACTCACTGTGATATAAAATAAGCAGCAGAGAAGGAGGAGTTTGGCTGGGCACACAAGCACAGTGAGTGTTCACTAAAATTAATATATTTGGATAAATTTCCTGTATTCAAGATTAATTTGGTCTTAGAGTTTACATTTACTTTGCTGACAGACTGCTGAAGGTTGGGTGTACTGCATCACTGTATGTAGAGATTGTGACTAGAATGAATAAGAATAAAAACTACTAGAGGTTGTGTGGTCTTTATGAACCCTCTGTATACAGTCTGCAGTTCAGTCAGAAACATTTGTCTCATGACTGTTGGTCACAGCTGTCTCAATAATGCCTTCTCTGTTGTGCCGAGGAGAGCAGAATTTTTAGTTTTTTACAGAGTCTGGTTACAGCAGTTTATTTCAAGCAAACTTTTGAAATATGAAATATGAAAATATCCCAATTTTTTGCTTTGATTTAGTTGTTTTTCCAGACCAACCCAAAAAGTCACGCAAAAATCTCTGACATATGGTGTAATTTTGGCAACTAAAAAAACAAAGCAAAAAAAAAAAACGGCGTGCCTTTTAAACCTGCTGAATTTTTTGGATTCAGAGGGTTAAAAGTTATTTCAGGTCGTGTGATAAATATCAAATGTAGTTTTGTCTTCAATATATTACTATGAAGATAAACAGCAGTGATTCAAGACTCTAAAACAGCCTGTGTGTCGGTGGAGATAATTCACTGAACAGATGTGCAGGTGTCCAGCTGAGCCGCTGATGATGATGACACTGCGTCCTCTCACTCTGGGGTGTTAGACTTTCTAGACTTTGACTTCTATGAGTGTTCAAACTTTTTGTACCTTGTATTGCTAATATAGCAAATGACTCCTCATATCCGAATAAATGAATTATGTTCCTGTTCGTGTCTTTGTCTTCAGGACTGTAACAACGGAGACACAGACCGGTTGAAGGCGTGTCATGTATGTAACATGACCTTCTCCGCTCCAGTCGTCGCTGAGTCTCACTATCAGGGCAAAGTTCATGCCAAGAACCTGCGGCTGAAAACAGTCGGACCTCAGACCCCAGGTAGGTTCTTATTTTTAGAATTATTCATAATGTAAGAACTGTGCCTTCCATTGTCTTTTCCATCTTCCTCACGTATTGTACGTATGAGGTGCGTGGAAAAGTTTCAGGACTGGTGTCACAAAAGATATATTTCAAATCCAAACTACAAGTTTTCCCCTTCGCAGTAATCCCCCTGGACTCTAACACACTTTTCCAGCCTTCTCTGCCTTCACGCCGCCATGCACTCCTGGAAGGATTCTTCCAGGATCCTCCGCAGCTCTGTCATCACAGCCATCTTGATGTCGTCCACGTCTTCAAAACGGGTTCCCTTGATGACCCCCTTGAGCTTGGGGAAGAGGAAACAATCACATGGAGCCAGGTGGGGTGAGTAGGGAGGTTGCTCCAGCACGGCAATGTTCTTCTCAGTCAGGAACAGTCAGATGCTCAGGGCATTGTGAGCAGGCACGTTGTCATGGTGAGGCAGACACAACTTGTCCTGCCACAACTCTCGCCTCTTCTCGCGCACTGAACGAAGCAAATGCTGCCGGATCTCTTTGTAGACGTGCTGGTTTAACGTCTGAAGGGGAAAACTCATAGTTTGTAGTTTGGGTTTGAAATACATCTTTTGTGACACCAGTCCTGGAACTTACTGATACTCCTCGTACCATTAAAAGTCTTTTTGTTGTAGCTGACGTTTCTTTTGGTGTGATGCAAAAATGGCACAGCAGCCTTTCTGTAACCGTTGTTATTGTGCGTCGTCTCCAGCAGTAGCACCCCAAACGACACCGACAGTGCAGCCGAAGAAGAAACCTGCGGAGGATTCGAGTGCTGCTCCGACGACGGGCAACAACAACAACAACAACAACCCGGACCGTTTCTGCTCCATCTGCCAGGCCTCCTTCAACAACCCGCTCATGGCTCAGCAGCACTACGTGGGCAAGAAGCATAGAAAGCAGATGACCAAGCTTAAACTGATGGAGACGTACGGCCCGTCCACAGCACCAGGTAGAACCACGCAACCAGGAATCATATTCATCATGTAGCAAGAACCCAGACGTTCTCAGTGTTTTGTCTTTCGTGCAGACAGATTCAGTGTTACGGGCTTGAAGACAACTAATTCTCTCCTTTTCTGTGTCTGCAGCTTCCACACTAAATGGATACCCGTGTACTGTCTGTAATATTGAACTAAACTCTGTGGAACAGTATCAGTCTCACATCAGCGGTGCCAAGCATAAGAACCAGTAAGTACGCTCACCTCTCCTCATTGGTTAAGGAGGTGAAATAACCCTTTGAGTTTGATAGACACTAAATTTCTGTTTTGTCTTTGTTAGCTGAACTGATGCACTCATGCACTTCATGTGAGCCAAATTTTGTATGAGATGAAAGTTAGTAATGGAGTAACTATTGCACATTTTAACTCTCTAAAGCCCAAAACCCACTGGCTAATTAGAAAAGGAGGTTATCTTTTAAAAACTTGCCAAAATGGCACAATTCATCAGAAACTGTAAAAAAACAGAGAATCATTGGATTTTAAATTTCCAAGGGACCGTGAACAAATTGTGTAACTGAATCTAAGCTTAAAATCTTGTTATTCATCAGAATCCCTTTATTTTACATGTCTCATTTGAAAACTTGCTAATCAGATTCTGTAAATATTTTTAAAAAATTCTTTGCTCCCTGCACAACCATTAAGCCATTAAGGACTCGGCTGCAACCAACAGTCGTGACAAAATTTCAGAGACTTTTCTGTTGAGCTGCAGGCTGTGTTTACACAGAGCAGGGTAGACAAGTGTAAAAACAAATTTAACATAGAATACACTTGATCAAAAAAAAAAATCAGCATGGCTCAAGAATTGAGAAGCAAGTTGTTGGAATATATATTCAGCGTTGTAGTGTGAAAAATGGCACGAAAAGTTAAATATCTACAGAATTTGGGGCCACTTTTGTTTTTTTTTCCAGTATTGGTAACACCTGTGGGCACTTGAATAATGTTTTGCAGTGCTGTCCGTTTATTATCATACCCTCGGTCCAGGATGGAATTATGACTATTTATCCAGGATACTACAATAAGCAGGCTTCAAGATGGCAGCGAGTTTGGGTGTGAAAACTAGCCTATGTACTGGACCAGCACGATCTACATGGCCTATATCGGAGCATGTATTTGAGAAGTAAAGTATTTAAGGAAAGAAAACAAGACTTGTTTTGAACTTTTATGAAATATTAAACTGTAAAAAAAGTGTATGAACATAAAAAAAGGTTAAACATTCAATCTTTCTATTTACGATCAATAAACATATTTACAAGGATGTAAAGGTATCTTTGCTCTAACAAACGAGATCGCACCTGTGGGTCTCTCATGGAAGATTTAACCTTTATAGCTCGAGATCACACCTAACTCGCTGAACAGTTCAGTTATGAGTGATGAGATGCTCTGCAACGGTTCTCTGTGAAGTCTGTCAGACAGTGTGTGAATACCTCAGTGAAGCAGATCTCAGGTGAGCAGCTAATTGACAAACAAACAAACAAACTTTTAAGTACTTATTTGATACACTACATGTTTACATACACGTATGTAGACATATCCTGCCTTTGGTGATTTTTGTATAACTGAATGATGAATTCTGTATTGATTTTGTGTACTTTTCCAGATAATTCGTATACTGGCAATACATACTTTAACTTAAGCACCTTAACTTCAGCACTTCAAACTCCAGTACTTCAACTCTAGCACCTATAATCATGCACTTTGTATTACTGATTGATTGATTGTATTGTATTTGTGTATTTTAAAGTCTTGTGAGTACATTTTTTCTAGTCTATGACCCTCCAAGGGACAACAGAAAGTATCATTTATGCTAACTCTGGCTCATTTACAATATGTGTTTTTTTTTGGTCTTTTAAACATTTGTTCATTAATGTGCACTGTCACTTTTAAATCAATCAACCAACCAACCAACCAACTAACCAACACAAAGAAAAAACAAACACATTGCCTTCTGCGGCTGACCGGAATGTGATGCTCGGCCCGTGAGCTGTAACGATCGGCCCACCATGACTTTAAACAGGCAGAAGTTAATCCTGGAATCAATTTCAGGGAATTTTGATATGACAAAAACCAAGATTATGACATTTTTCTATGACAGTAAAGGGACTGTTTCACTAAATGATTTGGGACTTTGATATTTTATGATTATACATCCTATAAAGCGGTATGACATTAAGTGGACAGCACTCTACAAACCGATTCCATATTTTTTCAATTTCATGTAATCAATTGTTCTCCCTCAGTCGTAGTTGTACTGTTTCCATAAAGGTGCAGGACTTTCTAGTGTATGGAGAAAAAAAAAAAGTCTCAAACTATCTTACAATGTGCCTTTTTTCTTCAGAGTGAAGAAATCAGGCCTGAACACTACAGAGAACCAACACCCAGCAGAACAATCATATGCGAGCGACAACCAGTACACAGCCGCAGAGGACCAGTACACCCCCGGGGACGACCAGTACGGAGCCGGAGACAACCAGTACGACGCAGCTGGAGATAACCAGTACGCTCCAGAGGACACGGAGTACTCAGAGGAGTACCAGTATACTTGAGACTGGGATTGACTGAGGAGGTTTCAGTGAGGACTTGGAACGAGACACAACAACCAGCCCCCCTTTTAACACGTTAACCAACCACCAACCTCCATGAACCTTCAGCTCCCGTCAGAGTAGGTTTCCACAAGGAACAGATTCACATAAACCCACCGCTTCGGACCCTGGAACATCCCCCACATGTAACAATTCCAGCTAAAACGGTTAACGGATGTGTGTGTGTGTGTGTGTGTGTGTGTGTGTGTGTGTGTGTGTGTTTATTTTATTTTATTTTATTTTATTTTATTCTGTACTGAAAAAAAACAAGCGTTTGATGAGTGAATGTGGGAAATGATAAGTTATACTCTTCATTGTGTGATCGAGGCTTCAGCAGGGATGCAGCTGAACCCACAAACACGACAGAGAAGGTGTTTGATGGTTCAGCTTCTGCTACAAATACACTCACTGACCGAAAGGCTTTCTCCAGAACAATGCACATTAGGGCTGGATGTCGGTTCATTTGTTGACACCAGTGCTGATTTAATGTCTTTTTCTTTGCCCAGACTATAAATTATGAAACAGATTTTTCTTTTAAATCAAATCTTTTTTGTCTAATGCTGCCCGTTGTTTAACCCTCTGAACCCCAAACCGCTTCAGGAGTGTAATTTGGTGCTTGGGGCTCATTTTTCATCAGTTTAAAATCCTGCTTTTTTTTTTATGGAAACAGCAGAACCACAGCGACAAGTGAAAAGAAATCCAACATGTTTTATGTGCAATATAGGAGAGAAGGGTTAGAATCCCTAAAGAAACTATGAAAGTTGAATTTCTTTGATCTTTTGTTTCACAAAAATGGAAAAAACTTGATAAGAGGGCTCGTCATACTATAGATATTTTACTATTTACATTTTGAATTTGTTTCCACAGTTGGAATTTCAGCTGAAAAGTCCTTGAATTTTTCTTATGTGGCTCTTTGTGACAAATAAATCAGTCCTGTTTTCTCAGTTGCACCAGAGTGCGCAGAATTTTTGTTTTTCCAGAAACTGGTTACTGCAAACAGTTTATTTTTTGGCCAATTTGTAAACAAAACCCAGTTATTATGGTTCAGTATCACTATTTTATACTTAATTCGGTCAGTCTACCTGTCACACATAAGTTCAGTCATTGTCATAAAGGTGAAAACTTGAGGATTCTTTTTGTTGTTATTGTAATTTAAATGGTTTGATAACATAACTTCTACATCTGTTTTCAGGTTTTGCTGTTCAGATGGTTAAATACACAAAAACAAACAAAATGCAGCCTAAAAATGGAAAAAAAAATTCTCATTTAAACAAGTCAATATCTGATCAGAGGGCAGATAAAATCTGACCAACTGTACTAGCTTCCTTCTTTGCTGCTGTCAAGGACTTTTCAGCTGATACAAAAACAAGACTGAGGTTCGAAATCCAGCCCTAATGTTCGCGCAAATCTAGAAATGATGTGTTTAGAGTTGGGTTTACTGCAGCGTGTCAGTCAGACAAAGCCGGGTATTTTGTCACTCAGCTTCTACTAACATCTAACCCGTATTAACATCTTGACCAGAGCCACATGTAAGCAGCCAACACCACCAAGCAGAACCGTTGTAGTTCTCGCCTCAGTTCACTGGACTTACAGTTGGTTTGCATCTCCAGTGAATGTATTTATTGCAACGTCTCCTTTTTCTCCTGCAAGTTTGTCTCTTTCTGCTGCTGAAGATGCAGTTAAAACTGCAGCTTTCTGTCTAGAAAACAGATCTACTCCATTAAATGTGATATCAGTTGAGAACCCGGTTTAACAGTTTGTTTTCTTTTCCGTTACTTTTATCTGAAGCCAAGATATCTACAAATGTTTGTTGTCTTTTTTTAATGGAAATGTTTGCTTACTCTGTAGTTCAGGTCACTAGCACTTCTTGTTAAAGTTCTGCAGAAAGCTGATGTTTCTGTTCAGGTGGCTCAGTGTTTTATTATTTGCTTAATCTTGTTAGCTACACTTTTTTTTTTTTTTTTTTAAACTGTAAAAAGGCAACATCATGTAAATGCAGGTCACATTTCAAACAGATACACAAGTTGAGCCTAAAGTAGATCCTTTCATACTTCAAAAAATACCAGAATTGGTCAATGACGAGCATTAAATGCTTGTTTGATGTCATTTTTTAAAGCAGTGTTTTTTTGTTTTTTTTTCTGGATTCTGTGCAGAAAACCTGAAGAGATGAACGGGGTTGTGATGAAAAATGTGAATTCTTTGTCGTCACATTTCAAACAGTGGCTCTGTAACAGCTGGTGGTTACTGAACATGTTGATGAAGCTTTTTTTTTTTTTTGTACTGTTGAGTTACATTTTTGGTTTGTTAAAGAGTGAAAAATTTTTAATTACTGTCCAAACGGGGCTTTACGGACTCTTTAGAGACTGATAGATGCTTTCTGAGCTCTGTAACTACTGTCAATAGCAGAGATTACAATATTTACCGCAGAGAAAAGTGATGTCAAATTAGAAAGTGATGTCAATATAAGAATAAGACTAACCTTTCTTTGTCCTTTTGTCCTCATATAAGACAATTGGTGAAATATTTTAGTATTGAATGTCTTCAACTTTCTGGCTAAAGAAAAAAAAATAGTCTTTTTTTCTGGATGTAATTTATACAAAGAGGGCTCATGCATACTGTATGGTACATTGTGTAAAAAACAAAACAAAAAACGACAAATGGCCTTTTTGTTTTCACCCTCATCGTTTGTGTGTTCGGTGTTTTGTGATTTAAGATTTACTTTCGATATAAAGTTATGTATCGTTGAGGGAAAAAAATGCTGCAAAGATGTGCATAAAGTAGAGAAATGTTTTAAGAGACTTTGTTTTGTCCTTCAACAGAAGACAGTTCATGCTCTTTGACTCACAGTTTTATTAATCTAAACAAGTTTTTTTGTCTTAAAAGGCAGATTTTTCTCAGTGGAGACAGTTGATTGGTCTGTAGTCGTCGCTTAAGACAAGGACGGAGGAAGGATGCACAGTAAAGAAATAAAACTGTTTACAAAACCAAATTAATTAGCCGAGGAAAGAAGCGGTACTTGAGGACGTGGGTGAGTGGGGAAGTGTGCATGAAGGTGTTAGGAGGCTAAAATCACAAAACTACTGAGAAGGAGCTGAAACGGAGAGCTGGCCATTTATACACTGGTAAAGTGTCTCAGTAAAGCAACAGAGCAACTAAAGCAACCACATAGCCGGGTATTTACAAGAAAGGATCCACGCTTTTATAAATAACATTGTTCACACCAGATCATTTTCAAAATAATCTTCGTTTACACAAACCTGCATAAACATTTCGTTAAGAGCTGCTATGAGCATGCCAAACCTATAGGGGGCAGTGTCACGAGAAAGCAATGCTAGCCAATCAGAATCCTGGAAAAACACAACAACGATTGGCATGAATTACTTCCTGTTGTGGTGTTAAGAGTACATAAGTAAAATACTTGAAAATATTGTCTTTTATCACAGTAGCCACACTGTAAACATGGGTCGCACACATATGACGCTGATGACGCTTTTGTCTCATACTGTGGCGTCAAACTCCATCTCCTCTTGTTTACATGCAAACATAAAGACAAAAAGAGTTTTTCCAAATCTCCACGTTGGCCGGAGTTTTTAAATATGATCGTTTTCGGTGACTTGTAGCTTCGTTTATGAGTAAACCAAAGGCCCAAACGCATTGACATATCACCGTTTCTGCTACATTTAAACGGGGCCTTAGACTCTCTGAACTCTACTGGAGGGATGAACACTGTCCCTCCAAAGGATGTTCTCTCATTTGCTGTTTTTGTGATGGTGGTGGAAAAAGACATTGAACACGTTGGTTTGAAATCTCCCACAGAAGGTTAAGATCTGGTTCATACTCCACACACTTATGTTCCCATCAGGAGAGAGAAGTTTCATCAAAACTGGGTTAAAGCTGATCACAACTTGATTTGCAGGTACAAGTGGATCCAAACCATTCCAGCAAAATGCCTCCTTCAGCACAACAGAGACACCAGATCCTCTCAGTGGTTCAGGTTTCCCTTAAAGGTCCCTCATTGTGCCCCTTTTCAGCAAATTAATGAAAGTCTCATCTGTCTCCACAATGTGTCTGTTTTCCAGCTAAAAATACCACAAAGATGGTTCATTTCACTGTGACTGCTTAACTCCTGGTTTTCGCCCTTTGTTCTGCAAAGTTCTAGTAATGTTTTCAGTTGGAAGTTTTCTTTTAGTTTACAGAGTGTTCTCTTTAAAAAAAAAAAACACTAAACATTAAACAAAACACTAGACACGTCAGAATGTTTACAGACAAAATGTTCTACCTTTGTTAACATGTAAAATTACAGGAACATTTTATTAGAACATCCAAACATCCTCTGAATGGTTCTGTTCTAGTTAACTTTAAACCTTACAGGAATATTCTTTAAGATGCAAAATATCCTGAAAACATTCTTCAAACATTAGATTAAAATGTTTTATTTGAAACATCAGAATTTGTGGGTAATGTTGGCTAATGTTGTGGCCTTGCTTGCTGGGAACTGAGCGGCAGCCGACAGACATTATCGTGAGAGATCAGGGACCTCATGTACAAAGACTTGTACTCATACTGAAACCTGGCGTGCGCTTCAATCCAGAAAACTGCGTACACACACAAAAGTCCAGATGAATGAAAGTGAGCGTACACCTGAATCCAAGCACTTTTCCTTTGTACATCCCACTCAGTATGGAATTGACCAGACTCCTCCCTCTCCACATCCCTCATTTTAATATGCAAACTAGTATAAACAGGACCTGCAGGTGGGATTCCCCTTTCTGCATGATCAGATAACAGGAACAAGCCTTGAGTAAGAAAGGTAAGAAGAGGAACTTCACAGAGTGTGAGTTGGAGATGCTCATCAACGAAGCTGAGACCCGAAAAAATATTCTTTTTTGCCACACTGTCCTCTGGCATCAACAGCAAACGACCTGACCCCCTGCTGTGGGGTCAGGTCATAGCTCCACCCAATGCTCGGCAACCAGACGCTCCCCGGTGAGCTCCCCCTAGGCCTGGCTCCAGGAGGGTGCCCCGGTTTCCCTAATCCGGGCAAGGTGGCAGCTTTCCTATTTTTAGGGTCCGAGGACCCCTTCTTGCTATTGTTCCTGCTTCGTTTCTTTCTTTCTTTCTTTCTTTCTTCTTATTATTATTCTCCTGACCAACACGAACACCTTAATTAGACCCCTAAACATGCTCAAAAACTCACCAAAATTGGTACGCACCTCCGAATGGGCGAAAAATTTGATAAAATGAAAAACAAAATCCCCCAAAAGGCTCTCTAGCGCCACCTAGTTACAGAAAAACACACTAAAATGGCCCTAGCAGCCAGTAGGAACGTTGTACAGAGATCAAACCAACACCAAAACGTTCGTCTCAATGAGACCCACAAATCTTGCGCTTTCAAAGCAAAAAAATTGGTGAAAAAATCTTTTGGGAAAAAATTATCTTGTCTGACACCGTAAATTGTATCAGCTTGAAAATCGCACAGGAGACAGAGAAGGCCTTGATGAGCAAAAGTTCTGATGGGATTTGACGTTTCTCAAACGGTTTTCGAATGGCAAGCCGCTAAATTTGATGAGCTGTCGTAGCCTCAGCTCATACTTTGGCTGTCTACGGGACATGTGCTGACATGCTGTGACATTTGGTCATCTACACAAAAAACTAAAGGTCCTACAGCTTTAAAAATGACACTGTGGGCTTCCAAACAAGATTTACCACAAAAATATGTTGTTTTTACACATATTTGGTGAAAATTGTGGCTGTATGGGAGCGAGAACGTGAGTAAAACTCTGAGCTCTCTCAGCCAGGGGCATGAAGAATGATGAGTCATCATG